GTGACATTATCAATAGGACAAGTACGTTTTTTCTTTAGTGAAATACTTGAGATGAGAAATACACCTCTTATCTGCATGCTGATATCTGTATTTCTCTTCTGGGAACTAATTTAAACACTTCATGAGAGATTGACATTTTCAGTGCCTTAAACATCCTTAAAAGCTGCTTTGTTCATTACAAGCCATATTTAGTATGACCTCATAATAATGTAGCACACCTCAAGTGTCATGCCTGTCTTTACTATGCACATTGGAGCTGTGTTCATCTATACTAGACAACTGCACTTCAAGGAAATTTTTTTTTTTTCCTTGATAGGCAATTAGCAGTAATTAGGAAGATTCACTTCAATAAGATGTCAACATGAGATTGTTTAAAAAAGTTGAATGTCAGTGACTTTAAAAGAGTTTTTTTTTTCCCTGACACATAGGTATGGCATGTGAAACATGAAATGTTAATTTAACTTTTCTGCTTATTATTCATGCACAATATTATTTTGTCATTCAGATACTACACTGACAGAGTGCAAAGGGTGTTAAAATAGTGCTGCTAGAATAAAAAGAGGATTAATCTACCATTGGCCAATTAGCCAAAGGGTACTTAATGGTCTCTAAAGGCTACTGAAGTCTAACAACTAGCTAAAGCACTGGCAAAAAGTCCTCTATATTACCTTCATTTACTTGACATTTTGTGAAACAGAATCAGCTGCTGATAACTGCATTCGGCTGAAAAAAAAAAATTATAACTGAGTGACACAGTAGATTTTACTAAAATTTCAGAAGAATATATGAAAAATAACTTCTGCATTTAGAACTTTTTCTTGCTTTTGGAGATCTTTGTTTCAACTTAGGGATAGGGTAGTAAGTCACCAAAGGCTTATGTTTCATATTTTGGCTTCATGTCTGGAATACTAAGTAATCAACTACTTACAGCACTTGCATGAAAAAAACTTTCACTGAGGATTTGGATTTGTTTCCCTTTTGTGTATATGATCACATTAAGTATGCAGCACAGTTGGCTTTTTAGTCTAGTATATATCTTTTCATGTTTTCAGATAGCTGCATACTAACTATTAATTTTAACTTCTTTTTCTGTGACTCATCAGACAGAGGTAGGTTTTGATTCAAGAGAACAAAACATGGTCAAGATTAGTAGGATTGACTCAGTAAATTTTTCTTGGATATTGTAAATAGGATTATCGTTATGTTGCAGTAACATTTGATAGAGTATGTAAAATCAAATACGTAACTCTGTGCCTGCAAATATATTTTGAAAAGTTCTTTTATGGTTTATTTGTGCAACAAGTACTGCTTATCTGGTATATTTTTCATCATCCAGCTAAAGCTGTGAGAATACAGCATTCTATTTAAAACCTTCAGACGAGCAGTGTTAGATTTTAAAATAGAACTTGATACGGGAGCTATGCATATAGGAAACGTATTTTATTGCCTACTGTAGCAAAGATTCTTAGAGAAAAGAAAAAGGAATGCGTTGACTTTAGGTTTCTTAGAGACATCTCTGTGCACATTGTAATGTGTTCATCTGCCAATTTTAGGATGGGATGCTTCATAGGAAATGCAATTTTTACTCATCTGAGGATGTATAGATTGGTTAGATTACAAAATGAGTAGTAAAATAAGGTTATGTCATTGCTTAAAAAGGTTTTCAAGAATACCTGATTTACATCCCATTTTATAATTTTGCCTAGAAGTACCTTCTGTATAATATATTCTGCAAATATACTTGATCATGTACAGCAGTGGCAGTGTAATAGCAGCCACCACCAACATAAATATCGTTTTGATATATGCCGTTGCAGTAGGAGGGCGAGTCTGCTGTAAACTGAGTTAGAAGCTTCTCACAGGGCCGTTGTGATGCTGAGGAGCAATGTGGCATTCCAGAAGCTTCCTATGTTAATCCAGTGGGCCATATACGTAGCTGTCTTTCTGAGCAGAGGGCTTATGGTAAAAAGCCTTGCTGAGTCACTGGAAGTTGTACATTGACTACATAGAAAGTGAGATTTCATCATTTATCCCTTTATATACGAGAGGGTATACCAGAAGCAAGGAGATTAAGATAGATGGATGTTAAAATATTGAATCTATAAACATCTGTTAAGCCAAAACACTCTGGAGGAGGTGCGGCAGAGAAAGCCTGCTGCATCATGGAGGAACAGCGGTAGCCTGACTTTACCAACATCTGGTCTAGCTGGTGTTTAAGATTCTACCTTTCATCCTGGTGACCTCTTCCCCTGAGTAAATCCTTTCTACTCTGTCACTCGGGATTTGCGTGCATGGTAGCACACACACAAAAAAACTCCTGTGTCTAAAAAAAAAGAAAAGAACAAAAGACTTGACCTAAAACTTAGCCAGTGCTGAGGGACAGCAAGGCAATGAACTTGCTTCTTAAGGAAGTAAATGCAAGGAATATCTTTTAGGCATAAATATCTTGCTGGGGCAGAGGGACTGTTTTTCAGATCCTACATAGATTTATATAGAATTTTCACATATCCTTTCAATATATTGAAAATAGAAGAATTATACAATAGAATTATCAACCCAGTAACACCATTCTCATAGTCTCCAGAGCTGTTAAGAGACAACCTTCTTGATATCCCTGGTGGCAATTGCGTCTCTGTCCTTGTCTGCTTTTGCAAGTTGAGGGATGTTTGTCTTGTACATCATACACAGCTTTCACTTCATCCCCATAGTTCTGATGCTGTTTCTGAATTTATGTACATTCATATTGTAAATATTTTTTTTCTAGTTCCTCACTTAAATAAATTCTATAAAGAACATTTCACTGTCCTCCTTGGCACCTGTGCTACGAAAGCCCTTTCTTTTTCAATATTTTGCTGGTATTTTTGGGAATGTGGCCATTGCAATCATGGCATTTTAGACCAGATACATTTTGACAGGAGCAGTAGCCTAAGAAACTTCTGAGAGTCATGAGCTATTTTGGGCAGATATGGGGGCATTTCTAATTTTAATCAGAGATACTGATCTAGCTATGTTAGGGTGTTTTTTTTGGTTTTTCTTTTTATGAATAATTTATTATAGAGACACTGAATCATGAAATTCTGCATGTAGAAATATTGACTGTACTGGAAAATAACTATATGTTATTTATATCCTTAGATATAAGGATATAATCCTTATATCTTTCTGTACTACTACTGTTTTTGCTTATTAAAGTAGCCTTCATTTTGTCTTTTACTCAGACTGTATTAATTGTAAGAATAATATCTCAGATTAAGAAGCAGCCAATTAGAAAATACATTAACACTTTATCTCTTGTTCAATAATGACAGCAGACACAGAAGAGAATGAAAAGATTAACCCCTTTGCTAAGAACAGTACTTATCTGAGATAAATATGTAAACTGCCTGTTGGCTTTAATAAATGCACTTAAGTGTGAAATACTGTGAGAGTTCTAACTTTAAATACAGATGCATCTTCTTCTATCCATGATATTTTTTTAAGGTAATGCAAACATCTACAAGCATTCTCATGTCATTCGTAATGTAGTTTTTCTTTTGTTTGGCTATATATGTGATCTTTAGATGATTGGTATGAAAGTGTGTGTGTATATAAACACACATACATAAAAAGTTTTTTCTTATAACATTAAGCAGTATAAAATCTATTTTTGAGTTAAATAATAAAATGCTTGGAAATAGAACATTATCTCTAACCTTCTCACCCGTGTAATCGGGCACACATTTCGTCATTTCAAGCTGTATTATCTTCTCCAGTTTCTTATCAGGATTCTTCACAAAGAAAGTTTTTTTTTTCCCTTTGAGAGGTTTCAATACCATTTTGTGTTATTGTTCCTTATGTTAAACTACCGTATTACAATCTTCTCCGGAATAAGAAGATGGTAGTGTAGTTACCCCCTTAAAGAGCAGAGAGTTGTTAGGCGGTTGGTGGCTTTCAGCTGACGACAGATTCATGATAGTTAAGCATTAGCATGAAGATTATTTCAGTTTCCCTTTTCTCAGAACAACATTCAATATTATTTAAATTAAAACAAATATTTTATTTAAAAGATTACCTCTACAAGGAGTACTGTGAAATATATTCTTACAAAGATTGAATAAGTCTTGTCAGTTGCCAATCAAGTGCAACAAGACTGAGAGTTTGTTTGCATGTTATTTATTTGAACTAAATCCCTAACAAGCCTCGTCTGCTAATTGGACTTAGCATTTATGTTGCTAAATGAGAAGCGTTTTGGCTGCAGTATAGGGTGGTAAGACCTACCCAGTGGAATAAACAACTAACATCTGTTATCCTGTCCCGCTCCAGCTTGGCTTTTACCACTTAAGTACCTCAGCCCTAGAGTCAAGGTTATGGAATATGTGGTTCTCTGGCTATGGTGCATATATGTGAAAGGGAAGAAATAACATAACATGAGTAAAGACCAGCCAACCAGAAGATATTTAGTGCAGCTGGTCCGCTTTGCTTTAACCTCTACAAGCCCTACAAATATCAAAACAAAAGCCAAGAGAAGGGTGTATGTTTTACAGCAGTTGTCAACACAGCAATTCAAGTGAGCTTACAGTGGTCACCATTAAAGCAGATTTGACATTTAACCACCTTTAATGCTCATTGGTGTCTGAGACACTTTGGTATTTCTTCTGTAGAAATAATTGCTGAATCCCGAAGAGGCTCTAGGTAAGCAGATTTCAACAGTAACTCTGTTACAGTTTTGTATGATAATTTTTTGCCTGTCATGGTAAAAATAGCAATGTGTACAAAATTCAAAATTGAATTAGCTTGCCTTTTAAAAAATTGCTTGTTTTTAGGATTACTTGACTTAGCTCTCCTGCTGGATTTGTTCTTTGCATGGACTAGAGAATTCAACCAACATCTATGCAATATAATTACAGATAATATGTATTATTTGATTCCTCTTGAATTCTGAACCAGAGAAACATCTCATATGATCAAGCAGAAATATTTTCAGGACGTAATTGTGATTGTTTCTTCTATTTGTAAAACAGGTGTTGACCTCCAACCTGGCCAAGTGTCAACAGGAGAAGGAAGATTTACAAGGAAAATTGAAGTTGAGAGAACATCTGTCTCAAACTGCTGACAAGAGTGAAGCCACACCAGCTCCTTCAAAGAACATTGATTTAGAGATGAAACAGCTGCAGTGTAAACTCAAGGTGACAGAACAGATTATCTAGTACTGAGGATAATTTGTATGAACAGTATTTCATAACTGGGTCAAGCAGATATACATATACTTACGTATGCATATCATGTATATATCTTAACCAATTATTAGCAACTTAGGTATTAGATAACCTTTGGTGTTCAGTAGAAATGTAGTCATAAATAGGAGAATTAGAAGTTACAATTACAACCATTTTTGCAGATCAGATAGGCCAGACAGAGAGGCTTGCTGGGTTTTCACACAATGATAAATTTCTTGTTGGAAAGTGCTATGGAATTACTTCAGTGAGAGTTGTGTTGATTCCTTGCTTCCTTTAAGAAGTAGGTAAGCAATAGCTATCTGTGAAAGAGAAGCATAGAATTTGGGCTGATGGGGCAGCTCAGGTAATCTAACAGTGTTATGTTACCTGTATGTCACTACTATTTTTGTCTTCAGAGAGACGTCATTCTTTTTATATTTGTATTTTTGTAGATTAGCTGGTAGGAAAATACTAACTTGCTGATGATTTCGTTTTCCAGACTTCAATGATTCTGTTATGTGTGGATGGTGTAGATGCTGAACTGTTGATCTGAGAAGTTTCTGAGCAGGTGGCCTGGCTCAAACATATTAATTCTTCCTCTGTTCTCACTGGAGGAAATATATGTGCAACTGAATGTTTTAAAGTTGTTTTTTTCCATCATTTTGTGTTTAATATATGAGGAAAGAGAAAAGGTCACAATGGTACAGCTTCTTGCTGCTAGAAGAAACAGCACGCTAGCAAGCCGGCTGCCAAAGGATCAACTGGAAGAAAAGGGTGTATTACGTGAGCGATGTAACTGGCTCTGGCTCTGCATACTGGATTAGCTGTGCTAGTGCACAAGATGTGGGCAGCGGCCAGACCTCTTAGCTCGAGATGAGGGCAGTGGCCAGACCTCTTAGCTCTTGATGGTAATCACGGTATTACAGATCTTGGCACAGCACACTGGCTGTGAAACATCTAAATTCAGGGATTGGTAAAGGTAGGTCACATTGGTAAAGACATGAGGGCAGCACGGAGTAGCCATGAAAAGGCAAATAGTTTTATCTGCTTTAACTATGAGAAGGAGATCTTGAAACCATACATGCTGACTTCTTGAGTGTTGGTTTTAGATTTGGGTTTGACTAATTTACTTCTGTTGCTGGTGAGTGGTAATTTCTGTTAATTATGGTTGTTGCTTTTAGATGAATGTCCTCATTATCCAGAAACTTAGTAGTCAGTTGCTCTATGTAAGAAAAACAAAAAATGAGGATTTTTTTTTTAATACTAATGTGAGTAACACTCACATTAGAAGCCTACTTTATTTGTCTACCAGATGTGAACGGCAAAATATATTGCTGAAGAATCAAAGGGGTTTTTGTTACAGCAGCAGAGGAAACATTTAGCAAGCGTATATAAATCTGATGTCAAAAATACTAACATGACTTTTAATTCCTTAAAGATGTATTACATTTTAATGTAAATAATAAACCATATATGCAAAACTACATTTAGAATAAACATAATCTGTGACCTCAAAGCCAGATTAGTAGAGTGAATTCACTGGTTGCTAAATTGGAAGAGAGTTTTGACTATAAGGGCCTGAAAAGCTACTTAAATCAAGTTACTGAAATTTTTAGCTTATTTTGATGTCATAGTTTTTCAAAAATTGAAGTTCTGCAAGCCATTTTTAGCAGAAGAAATTGGCAAAAGGTTGTCAACTATTGTTCCAGGCTATCTAGTGTACTTAAAAAGAAGATATAAAGTTACTGTCCTAAATGTCTGAAGGTGGAAGCAGCAAAAGCTTTCCTTATAGCTCAAAATCTCAAAATACCTGGTTTTGTTAGTTCATTCTTTTATCTCAGAGCTATCTTTGCAATGTTTGTTTAGCTTGTATATAATGGCTTCTTGTGTCTTTGCCAATAGGAAGAAATGTGTTAGGCATGGGTAGTGAGTTGGGAAGCGAAATACCATAAGCGTATGTCTTTGCCTCTGAGCACGTGCAGAGGCCCACCTAAGTATTCAAGTTCATATCTGGCGTGTAAACCATGTAACTAGGTGCTGTGCTTCACACTTACAAAGCTCAAGCTCAACAAACAGGTCTCAGAAAAATTGGGAATGTTCTGCTAGCATGCTTCATTTTAACAACTTTCTGGTTATACCTCACATTATTATAATAGTAAATAGACTAGACAAGTTATTAAGAACAATATTTTACATCTAACTATGCACACAAGGATATATACGCCCCTTGAGGTACACAGAGTTATGTACATTACTCCTATTAATGTTAATAGGCGTTAAAAGTCTGCACTGAGCAGAGAAATTCTCCTGAAGTATCTTTGTTTATAGCATGTCTGATCTGTTCGCTTATTGTTTATACGTAATGAGTAAAAAGCTTTAGTACAGTGACAGAACCTGACTGCATATGTGCACACATATATGTTGTGTGTATACGTAACACATAGGTATCTTTTGGCAACACCTTTTGGAGTTCTGAAATCTCTGTATGTGGTATGTTTGAGCTGCCATTTTCAGCAATGACATTCAGTGCGTATGGTCAGATTGCTAAGATGGCTACTTAGTGAAATTTCGGACTTTTATTTCTGTAGAGTGATTCAACTGTTCTGTATTAAAATCTTGGGTAGATTATCTGTGTGTTTGCATGGAGGAATTGAGGCTTTTTTTTTACTTCCTGCTATATACAATGAGAAAAGGCTAACAACTGTGTAATTCTCCTTCACTGGAATTGCACGTGCCTGAAAGTTAGGGTCGTACCTTTTTGCTACTGAAATGTAGGATTTGTGTTAGTATGGCCAAATCGAAATCTCTTTGTCTTGTGCTTTGAGTTTCAAGGGACGTGAAAGCAACTGCTTTTGTAATTTGTCTTGTATTTCTAAATGCACAAGATGAAAGGGATTATTGGAAGTTGTTGCTCTGTAGATGTAGGCCCCTTGTGTTGTAGAACTGCACCATTCAAGGATGTAGTTCAAATGAAGATCCGATTTTATTTCTCTTCTTTTCTGTTACCTTTTCAGCTGACCATGCTATGCAAAAGAAAATGTAATCCTGATAGGTAGACTGGGTTTGCAGGTGTCCTGGGGAACATCTATTAATCATACATTACTAGAGCAATGGAGAAGTACTGATTTTGATCATATTTTCCAAGGAGCGTACTTACGCTTAAGTGTAGCTATAAAGTAAGAATACTTCTGTTGTACCAATTAGTATTTAAGAACATTCATAAAATACGTGGAAGTTTATGCAGCCCATTATTTCAAACAAATTTACTGTCAAATGCAATGTTTTTCAGTCTGCTTTATTTATATTTTAATATTTTCAATATAGAATTCGAATAATGAAATCACCAGGCAATCAACGACCATTAAGTCACTAAAAAATGAAGTCCAGGAAAAAGAAGAACGGATTCGGGAACTACAAATGAAGTATGGTCACTCTTCTATCCATTGTGTTTGGTGCCACCCAGTGGCAGCTGTATAATTGTTACAACATTAACTATTAAATAAAATTTTGAGAGAATGTTTTATTCTTCTTTTTACTGCAGTCATGCAGACTGATACAGGGGTGGTTTTTTTTTAGAAACTGGAGCAGTACATGCTAAAATTGCGTTTTGTTTAAACTGATGAGCGATTAGCTAGGCACAGTATCTGTATTGCAATAAGAATATGCAGACCCTAGAGTAGACTATTTTATCCTTGATGTAAGTCAAAATGAATTCCTCAGCACTGTTAAACACGGTCTTTCAAATACAGTAATTCTTTGCCTAGGGGCTAAGAGACATGTCAAGGTTCAGATGCTTAAACAAGATTAAATATCCAGTCTTGTATTCATAAAAAGTTCAAAAGGACAGTTGTACTTGTTTCATTTTGAATTGATTAAGGTTTACCACTCGTTTTGAAATTCACATGTGTTGTTGTGAAGTGTGCAAGTGAGGTTTTTATTTTACCTAGTTTAACTGATATAATGCTGTTCTTCAATTATATTACTATGTAAACATAACCTGTTAGTATTATCTGTGAATCTCTTGTCTGGCCCAGAGTTTTAAGTCCTCTCACCATTCAAATCTTTTTTATCTGTAGAAAGAATGAAGTTTATTTATATGAAATCAGTTCATTTCAAAAATAGAGAGTTGTTAATTTGTGTACGTTGTGTATTTTCTGTTTCAAAAGGAAACTGAATTTTTCCACTTTAAGACTGAAATTTAAAATAGAGTTACTGGATTGTGCTTCCTTTATAAAATAGACACTGTTTTTTCATAAACTGTAAGATATAATCGCCAAAATAACATCAATAGCATAAATGTGAAATAGATGCAAAAAATTTTAGGATACACTGTTTTCCTGGGATTTTTTATTATGGCATTGGCATGGAATCATCAATGTTTTATTCCTGAATATATCAACATCATTCATTTTGCTTTCTTTAAAAATAATAATCCAGAAGTCTGAACATATTCAGGTATTTCTTATGTTTGTATCATAAGAGTGGAAGCATTGTATAAGGCATAATTTTCTCATTGAACAGAGATTGCATTGTAGTACATGACAATTTCTCTTTTTTATAAGTTTCTGCAAAATACTGATGTTATTTCTAGATTTTGCAGTTTTTAAGAATTAGTATCTGACATATCTCTATAGGGATAGAGATTTTTCATATATTTCTTTGTACTACTCAGTTGGATGAAAGGAGACATCCCCCTTTCACTTTATTTAAAACTAATTTTGTACAAAGTAGTGTTTAAATGATACCTGCTTCAGACACTAAAGAAATTTAATTGATTAAATTTTATGTTTTCAACAAGGTTTTTGCCTTTTTTTTTTTGATAATAGCATAAGAAAAGTTATTACAATTTCAGATCAGGCAAGTGAGAGCATATATCACAGCAAAAAGCAAATCAGAAATAAATTTAGAAATTAGAAATCTTCAATTAAATGCATATTTAGAAATAGGTCTGTTGAATAAGAGATTTGAAACTGATTTTAGGGGTTGAGAATAGGGTAAATTCCAAGAGGTCCATCAGCTTTTATTTAAAAGAAATTCTAATACTACAGGAATGATAATTTGTCTACTGCGTATATACTTTTTAGTTGTTTAAAATAGTTGCATAGTAACAATATTTTCTAACAGTGACATGCAGTATAACTTGTTCCTTTCTAGGATTTCTCGATTGGAGAGGGACCTAAACATGAAAAGACATTTGATGGAAGAGTTAAGGTCTCGTCTAAAAGCGAGTCAAGAAAATGAAAAAACCTCTAATGAAACGTTAGAAGGTCTTGAGAGAAAGGTACTTCTTTCTTGCTATTGATAGTTCTAGGCAAAGAAAAAGCTGGTGGATATACAGTGTTTCAGCACACTATACATACTAAATCAATATATTGCTTTAAGCAAACAACATACAGTTAATTTAAGGGTGTAATTCCCTCCACTGTAATTTGTTTGAAATCAGTATATGGTGATAGCTTGGATGGATTCAGCATAATTTAACGTATGTTCATAAGAGGTGTAATTAAATATTAAAGTGTTCAGAACACTGAGTTTCAAGGATATGTTCTAAGTAGTGAGATTTAGTTTTATGCACTGTAAGTTTATAAAATACAGTAGACCTGAAACAAGGGTGATTTTACATGACATATGCTAATGAAGTCCATGAACATCTCCTGGCTATAGTGGTTAAATGCTTTAATATGTTAATCTGTTGTCTACTGCAATGTTATGAATGATTCACAGTTCTTTGCTTAATGTAATTCTGTCTGTGTAAGTAGAGCTTAATTTCTATAGCAAGTTATTTTCTCCTGCAAAATTCTAGGACTATTTCACTGAAACTAAAAGATCTTATATTTGTTTTGGCATCTTTCTATATTATCCAACCAATGTATTGCACTTTGGCTTTTAATTCCAGAAAAAGATTATGAAATATGACTGTCTGTAAGGTCATACAGCGTATGACACCAAAATAGAAATAAACAATTTACTAATTTGCTTTTGTTCACCTAGAATGCAGGTGCTTACTGAGTACCACAGGCACTATCTCCACGTGCAGTCATATAGCACTTCCAGCTCTAGAGAGAGCTGCTCTCTTATCCTCCATGCATAAGATAAGATGTAATTAAGAAATCTACAGCCAGAGAGTAAGAGCGTAAGCAAGCAAGAGAGCTAAAGTATGAAACAAGTAAAATACTTGTTTTTTATTTTAGACAAAAGATTTAGAATGGAACGATGTACTTTAATGCTGTTCTTTGAGTATTTTAAGCACTACTGCATTTCTCAGATTCCAGAGAATCAAATTCCATACATTAATTTGCTTATTCCATGTGGAAAATCAACCTGATAAATTTTACATTATCTTCAGCAGAAGATCAAAGAAATTCCCTATTACTCAACGTTGTCAGAAAAACTTTGTGATTAATACTGTCAGGAGAGCTGAATGATTTTCTAGGAGCATTGGTCTATTTCATTTTACCCAAAATCAGTGTTTGCATTGTATGGCAAAATGATAATAATTATCTAAGAGGCTTTACAGACTATTAACTTGTAGACAGTTATCATTTTCTCAGCTGAGTTTTAATTAATGTTTTTACTTCTGATAGAATAAATGAGTGGAAGTTGTGGTTTGCTCCTTTTTGCATGCACTGTGACAGTAAAATATGTGCAAAGAAACAGCTCTGCAAATGAAAAGCTTTTCTTTACACTTAATACAAGTATATAACTTGTGCAAACTGATACCTACCACATCAGTAGTAGAGGTTTATTAAAGACGGCAATTTCAGAAAAAGGTACTCTAATCAAATTATTTATATAATACAGGTATGTTTATGCAATATAGTTAAGCTTAGTTTTTATTTGATTTTCGTTTTTAAGTTTTATCTTAAGAGTCAATTGCTCTTGGCCTTTCATTATTTCAGGTAAAGGCATTGGCTGAAGACTGTTCCAACAAAAAAACTTCCATTGACTCACTGAAACAAAGACTTAATGTAGCTACAAAAGACAAGTCTCAGTATGAGCAGATGTATCACAAGGCTAAAGATGAGTTGGAGAAAAAGGTACCTTAGAGTTGTGATGGCTTAGCTGTGGAACCTTTTCATATTTCACTTTCAAATGAATAGTTGCAAGGTCATCAGCTTAGACTTTTTAAATACAAAACATTTGTTTGTTCATTTTTTTGTGGCCTACCATACTTGCCTATCAGCTTTTGTGTTCTATCACTGCTGTTTCTCTGCAATGTATTTCAGGATATCAAGCTTACCAATCTAGAGAGCAAAATGATTGAGACTGAACGTGCCATGACTGAACTTGAGACTACTGCATCTCAGCAACTACATGGTTTGGCTAAACAGAGCGGGCAAGCTTTGGAAACTGTGCAGAAGAAGCTGCTACTCAGCAATGACAAAGTAGAAGAGTTCGTGACATTTGTGAAGGTTTGAGTTTTGATTTTTCTTTTGATTCTTCACCTAAATAAAGGTATTCTTGATTGAAAGCAAAACATAAAGGATTAAATGAGGCTAATCTTTGAAACATTCCCTGTTTTGGAACAATCTTTGAAGTTCCTTCACTGACCTGGTGTCAGCTCTGAATTGGTCTAAACAGACAGAAAGAGTCAGTGGCTCTAGATCTCTCTCCTAGACCTCTGTGGACTTCTGTAATTTGTATTTGTCATCTTGTTGTATGTGGCTGCCAGTGTACTTGTGCCCAAGTAAAAGTGCTGATTCGAATAGCAAATTACTCTGCAGAAAAACAAATTCCCAATGCGTTTAAGAAAGTAATTCATACCTGTTGATTAGTGTGAATTAGTTCATTTTCCACATGCATTGTTTTTTGTTGCAGAAATATTAAATAAGGAAGCCTCTATATTGCAAAATTGAAAGCAGTTTTAAAAGCAGTATGTAGAATATTCTCTTCTTATTTTGATTAAATACTTAGCAATCTGCTACAGTGCATCATGAAATAATACTGTGTCTGTGGTGTTGTACAGATCATTTCATCATACTATTTCACTGTGAAGTTCTGCAGAACGGACTAATATGTGTTTTGTAACTTAATATTTGAAATGTAAATATTATTTATATTCCTGAAATATGCACTATGTAACTAAGAATTATAATGCCTGCTCAGTATATATCTGTCTTGAATTTAGCATATATCTACTATATACCTACTTCCAGCCAAGGTTATGTCTTACTAACCCATGAAACAGATCCACTTTTGTACTGTTCCTGGATTTCCGTAGAGGGGAGCTGCTTTCAGGTATGTTTGAGCAAGTCTGATCGCATCCGAAGTAGAAAGCAGTGGTATTTTGATGCACTGTAAAAAGAAGGCATATATAGTTGTCTATTCTTTAATAACATTCCACTCTGGATTGAAATCTAGTAACTAAAGTACTTGTGCATTTTCGCTTCTTTCTGTCATCATCAGATAACAAGTCACTCTACAACCACTCCATGTTCCTTTCAGTTGCAAAATTCACATCTCCTTCATTATGAAAAAAGACTGAACAATGTTGAATGCACTTTAAAATCCTAAATTCAAAGAATTTATAAGTTAAAATATCTGAAGTGAAAATGGGGATTGACTTTCATGAAAAAAATTTGCCTGTTATTTAAAAAATAAGTTACTTTATTTTTTAAGTTTGTGATTGGAGCAAAGGCTGTCTTCTGTTTGCCTTGTTTCATGACCCTTGGGAAAGTGGTATAAAACTGATCACTGCTCCCTATGATTCAGAAACATCTTGGCTATTCGTAAATAAACAGTTATTTTTCATGGGGCAAAATGTGCTTTCTTCTAATACAGAATGCTTCCTCTAAGAGGAAGAAATGAGTGTTCTTTCCACAGCTGCATGGTTACTTTTGGCTAAGTGTGGGAAAGTCTAAATTAATCTAATGTATTATCTAATTTTTTAATGAAATGTTCCTATGTCATTGATGACAGAGAGATGCAATTCAGTCTACATTCAGGCTGCTGTGAATTTTGGAATGTTTTAATTGATTAAACTGCAGTAGCAATTATAGACAAAGGAGATAAACAAGTCTTCGTACTATTAATACTTTATGTACTTCCATAATGAAAAGTTTGCCAAAAATTAGAAAATGAGAAAGTAAAATATTTTATATTCTCAAAAGTAGCTATAATGAGGAAAATTACCTATTAGCAACTATTATGATACTTCATTTGTTGTTGAATAAGATGACTACTTCTCTGCTAGCTGCCATGAATATTTCTTAGCATTTACATGGTCATACTGTATATGAAAAGAATGTTAATATGTAGTTTCTCTATCAATAATAATAATATTTAGCTAATAAAGCTAAATAGGTAGTTTCTCCCCTGGATGAAAGAATATGCATGCATATTTCAAGTAACATTTTTGCTGACTCCTATTCCACTGCAGAAAAATTTTTTGAAAATAAAGATGCTGTCTATAAGTCAAATATTGATGAACAGGGAGTTTCTCAGTAGACTGCTTTGTTTAGTTAGGTACTAAATATTTATAGGAAAAAGTTCTCTGAAATCAGATTTTATTTACAGTACATCACTGTAAAAAAAAAAAATGTAGTTGAAAATCTTTGGCATTTCACTGGAATTTTGTAGTATATCAAGTAAATCCTGCTAAAATACCTCTTTCCTATCTGATGCCATAACCTGCATAGGAAGATTGAGGTGGCACAATAAGAAGTAGCAGTACTCCTTTCTCTGCCAGCTCTTCCTTTGAAGTCTGGTCTGTCTCATTTCTACTCTCTCCATCCAGGTGGCTGTCAATTTTCCCCTGACCTTGGTTCTCACTCAAGTTTCAGTTTAATCAAGTTTAAACTGTCTGTTGCTTAACCTATTTAGCATATTTGTATGACCCTCTTATCTTTGCTATTCTGATCACTTCACAACCCTTCCTTATTTTTCTGAGTGCAAGTGTAATCTTCTCATTAATCAATTGAATGCAGTTACTTCTAGCCGTTCCATGTCTCTCATGACATTATATAGTTCTTTTTTTAACATACAACAATTAAATCATTGCAGCGTTGCTAATGAATAGGTACAGCTAATAATAGGACAACAGAGGAACTTCAGAGAAAAAAGTCTGGCTCTTTCTGTTTATAGCAGACACTGTTACTTGCCTTTAGGGTTATTGACAACTCAGAACCACAGGATCTTGAATCCATTTAGATCAATATAGTAAGTTACAAAACCTGGGGGGAGAGATTTCTGGTAGGAGTCTGATATACACCACTGGATTAAATTAGAGGATATGATGAGTTACTGGATAAGCATGTATTTGTAATGTACAATAAAGCATTGCGTTGCTATAGGGAGCCCAGTTTGGGACACTGACACAACTAAGTAAAATTGCTAGATTGTAAAATCTAGTAATGCTTTCTAAAAATTGTGGAAGAAATAATTACAAACAAAAATTGCTGTAACTAATGTGTTGTAAGTCATTACTTGACTTATTTTTGTTGGAGTGTGGTTTAGGGATCAGGTGTTATGTCCTAAATTACGTTCAGTGGGAACAAAAAAAACATGTAAAATAGGTTGATTGAGAGTAGTTCATTTCTCCAAAGCTCTTATAAGGAAGATATAGGCTAGTAGAAAATATGAATAGAAACTGTGCACTGTAACAGTTTTTTAAGTAACCAAAAAACCACAGGTGCGTAGTTAGAGGGTAGCTTCTTACAAGTATTTATTTCAGTTTGATAGGAAAGAGAACACAATATTTAGAAATAAAAAGGCAATATGAAGGAAGTGGAAAAATGGCTTAGAGAAAGTAACCTGAAAATATGAGCAGCAATAGAGTATGGAGGATGGAGAAGAGGATAAAGATAGCAAGATGAAATCTGTGGGTAGCAAGGCCAAGAACATTAGTAAAGGGGCAGTATTTAAAAATGTACTAATCAGGTAGCTATTATAGGGTAGATATGACCCATTATCAGATAAAACAACTCTGTCACTGTGTAAAGATGGAAGTCTTGTATGAATATTTCTATTTCATATCTGAAAGGAAGTAGGCTGGTGTTGTATGAAGATGGTGAAACATCCCCAGTCTATTAGAAGCCAATGGAGGATTTTAAACAATTTCTAGAACAAAATAGTGGTTTTAAATTGAGAAATTTTATAGTTTACAACTTTATAAGGTTTGTTAAGGAATTTTACTCTAGCTGATCCTCATTTTGAATTAAGTATTCAAAGTGTATATATACTATAACACTGCCATGAGTATTAGAGTCATCTAAAAGAATGATAATATTGAGTTGATATTCAGAAAAGGCAGTCAAGATTGGTATTTTTAGGTCAGGTAGTCTGACCTCCTTTCTGGCTAAAATAACGAAAATCCAATAACGAAATTCAATTACTAAAATATTAAAGCATAGGAGTATAGTTATACTTCTTAGAATGGCTTTATGGAAAACAAGTTGCATTGAATAAATCTTATTTCTTTTCTGGAAGGCAGTACAAGTCACTTGATAAAGGTTACTATTCATTCTAATACATTGGTTTTTAAGATGTCTAACCTAACACTGAGACGTTCAGATAAAAAATGAAGGCTTATATAATATCAATAATATGTTAAATAGATTAAAAATGGCCTGTGTGGTTGATCTGAAAAGTAATTCATAAAATTATGGTGTTTCTAGAGTTCTCTAAAGATCAGAGCTAAACTTGATTATTAAACATTTTTGCAGAATTGGATATCAAATCCTGATAAAATTTGTCAAAGGCATTTGTGAAGACCAATAAATAATAATGAAAGTAAGGCTGTAACTGTAATGTAAGCTAGGCCCAGTCAAGCATTTTTATTATAGAAGAACAAAAACTACCTGTAAGAGCAACCAGGTGGTTCTGAGGGTATTTTAGATGCCTTCTATAAAGCTACATGTTTTCATCTCATTCAGCTTCCATCAGCACCGGAAATTCTCTTCGAACCATGCATCCAATTTCTATCCAAATACGGAATATGTTCCGTATTTTCTGTAACATGTATTGTACCGTCAGATCCTCAAGGGGACCTTGCCAGTTATGTGCAGCACAGCGACCAGAGCAAAACGTTCTTTGTTGTGTTTGTAGCACCTGTGACAACACATGCAGAAAACAGCCATTGGATGAAGTTAAAAAACTGCTGTTAGCCTACTTGACTGCCTGTCTCTCAAAAATAGAGTACCGCGTACTAGTTTGCTATGAGATAGTCCAAAATCCTGCTTAATTATGTAGGAATACTGTTTTCCTGCATTACTGTACTTTTTTTTTTTTTAGCTCCTATTGCTCGTATGGACCCTTGTAAGCTCAAGACTCAGTAGTGCTGTCTGTCCCATTCAAATTGCACATCAGCAAAATTCATTTTTTTAAGTTAATCTGCAGTGACGACATCTAGCTGAGCATGAAAATATCAGAACTTTTCTGACCTTGAGGAAGACGTTTTGAAGTTTTGATGAGG